TATAAGAATAATTAATCCCTCAAAAATTAAACTGATTAAACGCTTTTCTGATCTTACTTGAAAATTATTTTATACACTAAATAAATTTATTATAATAATTATAAATTTAAAAAATTTGATAATTATTTATGAATATCATTATAAGATTATTGATTATTAATAAAAAAATAAATAGAAGATAATAAAAATCATGATTAAGTGAAAATAACTTCACTGCTCTGATTATAATTTGCAATAATTTTATTCGTCGGATTTGAGATATAAATCATATCAACAAATAATTTGATGGTTTAGAAGTAATTGATTAATTAAATATCAAGAAAACATATTTTCATAATTTGATGAAGCAGAAGCTTAGGTGCACTCAAGGGTACGTAGGACTAAAGCATGATTTAATTTTTAGTAGAGAAGACAAAATTTCCATGAGTAGGTACGATGGCAGGAATAATAATAACCGAGAGCATTATCAAAATATACAAAATTTATAAAAAGTTTCACAAAAAATAATTTATAAGTTTAAATCAAGCCTATACATAATTTAAACTTCTTCTTTTATTAAAATTATTCAACCCCTAGGTAAGTTAATAATCCATAGTAATGCATAATACTGTATAAACATCAAATAACTTCAATTCTATAATAATTATTCTATTTGATTTTGAGTTTTTGATTTCTGAATTGAATTCATTTTTATATAAAAAAAGTCATAGGATATAATATCTTAGAAGAAATTATTATTAATGGATTTTATAAGAAATACAATATAAAATATCAAATTTTTACAAGAAAAGTATGAGAAATAGTCATTATTTTTGATTTTTAAGGAAGTGGGATCAATAATTATTTTAAGTTATTTTATTTTAAAGAAACCTTGATTGAGAGTTTAGAAAAAATATCTCAAAAATTTTTATAAGAAGTAGTGGCATATTAAGATTTACAAAAAAAAATTTATTTTTTGGATATTTCAAGAGCTTAATTTTGCATCTTCATTCTTCAGTGTCAAAATTGTAAATGATTAATCCATTGTATTTGCAAGCTCTATTCATATAAATGGAAGTTTTGATTGAAAATATCTTATCTTTCGAAAGATTTTAGGATTAAAATACAGAGGCTTATTTTTTTTTGAGTTAATTATTAAATGCTAGATTAGTTTCTAGTCATTTTATATTAAATTATCAAATAGATATTTTGAAATATTGGGCTATGGATTGAAAATATCCTCAATTA